TTTTTTTGGATACAGGGTCTTGCTGTGCAGCTCAGACTCATAGTGATCCTCCTGTCTCAGCCTCCCCAGTGCTGGGATTACAGGTGTGTGCCACCATGCCTGGTTTTGGGCCCAGCACGACATGCAGTACTGGGGATTGAACTCAGGACCTTGCACTTACCAAGCAGGCACTTATGCCACCAAGCTATCTCCCCAGCCCAAGCTACACTTTCTTTCTTTGGGTCTCAGTACACAGATCGACTTGTAGTGATCCTTCTGTTTTCAGCCTCCCAAGCGCTGGGATTATAGGTGCACACCACCATGCCAAGTCTCAATTGCCGTCTCAGTGCACTCCAGGAGCAGGGGCAGGGCTGGCACGGTAGGCTGGGGATCAAACCTGGTGGCTGCACCTGCCTAAGCAGGTGCTTTAGTCCACTGAGCTATCTGGCAGGCCCTCAAAGCTATACTTTCTGACATGAATATTACCCTACAATCCTCGCTCACTCTTATTTTTCTAGATCCTTTGATGACATGTAATGTAAAAAAAAATTGTACTTTTGTGTAGCTCTACTCATAATAGTATTCTTTGCAGAGGCAAAAGTGGAAGCAACGCAATATCATCAATAAATAAGTGCGTTAAAAATCTGATATATCCATTGAAATAGTAGCCTTAAAAAGGAAGGGAATTCTGACACAACAGTAAACCGTGAAAACATGAAGGTCAGTGATATAATCTCATCACAAAAAGACAAATATTAAGGAACCGGAGTAGCCAAGTACATAGAAAGGCAGCTGCCAGGGGATGAGGGGGAAGAAACAGGGTGCAGGGCTTCAGTTTTCCAAGGCAAGTTCTATTGCTGAGATGTGCACTTAAATACGGTTAAGATGATATTTTATCACAGTTTAAAATTGGGGAACCAAAGTGGGCTTTCTGGGGACCGACCGGTGGCAATGGAAAAGCTGAGGACTTTGAAAATGGGGTGGTTTAATATCACGAAGGTGTTTGTTGGGTTCGCAGCCAATCCACATCCAGGCTGAAATTTGCTGCAGAGAGAGTTCCGTGCGAGTGGGGATGTGGGCCACACCAAGGCAACGGGAGTCCCCTGAACAAACAGCAGGGACAGCAGGACCAGCAGAGACCAGAGCCGCTTGGCTCCAGAGCCAAGGCAGTTGGTCACAGGTGACCGTGGCTTGTACATCCTCGCCCTCCCTGCCCCAGCTTTCTGTGGGTTTCCCAGAGGGCCAAGGCTATCTTCTCTAAATCCTGAAGGACAGGAACACTTCAGCTGTGACCTGGGTCGTATTAACAAGTGCCCCCTTTCTCCTTAAGTTAACTGACCCTCTATACTTTTCAGAAATATAGCCCTAGCTTTGGGGGAGGGCTGCTGGTGAGCCAGGGTTCCAGAGCTAGACATGCAGGGCTTAAATCTGCGCTGTGCCACTTATTAACTGTGCCTTTTGACAAACGGTTGTTCGCCTACCTCATGGGGCCTTTTAGGAGAACCACATACGATACTGAGCATTTATGTGGAGCAATTCACACGGTGCCCATCTCCAACTGTATTAGCTGTCTCTGCCTTAGTCCCTGGAACGCATCTTGCAAGAATGGTCATCCTAAAGAGAATGGGGGTTCCCTGACCTCCATTCTAACATACCCAGAGCCCTGTGGGTTCTGGCTTCAGGTTGGGCAGAGTCCCCTTCCCAGCTGCACCCCAATTTACCAGAATGTAAAAGACCCAGCTCAACCCTCATAGGCAGTAGCACCTGAGCTTTCTCCATGGGAGGGAAAGCTTGAGGGAACCCTTCCTCTTCTGAGAGATCAGCCCCAAGCTCAGGGCTCCTTCTGCTAGGACAGTGGGGAGGTCCCTTCTGAAGGAAGATGATGCTTTATTAGCAGACTCTGTGGTAGGTGATCAGGGGGTCGTGGACTGGTGGGGCAGGGAGTGCTGGGACTCAGGGGTCCCCTGAGCACGAAGCAGACAGAGTCACCTGGCTCTGCTGTGGTGTCGTCAGCTCTCTGCCTTTGGCTTGGAGGTGTTCTCCTCTGGGTCTTTGTCTGTGTGCACCTGGAGGACTTGGGCTTTTCCGATGTACACTGAGGAGGAGGAGGAGAGGCCGTGGTGAGTCAAGCCCAGCCCTCAGCTTCATGGGGACCCGGGACACATGGATTCCCTTCTCTGAGTCCCACCCTCTTCTCCTTTCAACCTCCAGAGAACAAGTTCTAAGAGCCGACTCGGTGCCAGACACTGCTGGGCAGTGCACCTGTGTTTAAAAGTTGAAGTTGTGTTACTCTGTATACTGACTCCATTATGTATTTTATTGTGGTGCAAGACAATTTCTTGTCACTCAATGCTGCCCAAGCGAGTCCAACCTGTGGGTGCAGGTTGGATGCACCTACTTTCCAGCTTGATGGGGGAGGGAGAGGTCAAATGCTATTTGTTCTCTCTCTCTCTCTCTCTCTCTCTCT